ACCTCATAACACTATCACCAATTATGCCCTTGCCACATCATCAGCTGTTTCTTTTTTTTCTTTTCCTTTTTTTCTTTTTTTTTATTAATTTTTTTTTTTGTCTTATAACTTTTTTTTCTCTATAAGGTATATTAATCGACTATGAGATATAAGCATAGTCGATTAAGAATCTAACATCTAGAAACAACAAATCACAACTACAAAAAGACAAACTCAACTATATTTTACAAAAACAAAGAATATACAAACAATGTAATTGATTTATACAATTGGAATCAATAAACAAAAAATTCAAAATAAAAATAAAAATTGGAGTCGACTAACCTTTAATCGACTACCAGAGCATAGTTGATTAACTTAATCGACTATTGAACATGTACATAGTCGATTAAGGTTCCAGCCTGCGTGAATTTCTCTACCCCCGTCGTTATCCACCCGATCCACCAAAAAATCCTAAATCTGCTTCTCCATCGTCACCACACCGCCGCAACACCACACTTTGTCAACCATAGTGGGAGTTCGATCTTCCAGTCTCCCAGTTTCAAGAATTGGAATCCTCCATTAACGACATTACTGAAGAACTGCATTAAAAATATAACAAGCAGAAAAGAGAGGAAAAAAAAAACCCAACACAGAGACGAGAGAAGATGAAGAATTTGGAAATTCATACTTTGTTCCCAACAAACGGTAATTTTGTTAAAATCAACAGAAAATTCTGACAGATCTACTCACACTCATGACATATTTGCAGAAATTAATCTCAAAATAAATTAGGCGTTGCTTTTCCCTCTCTTAATTTCTTACGCAATTTACTGTAAGAAAAATAAATATAAAAATAAAAAAGAAAATTAATGTGTGTAAGACTTCAATTATGTTGATGGTATGAGTGACGACCTTAACCATGTGTACGGAGAAGAAGAAGATGAGGAAAAATCAGAGAGAGAGAGAGAGAGAGAGAGAGAGAGAGAGAGAGAGAGGAGAGGATGAAAAAGGAGGATAGAGAGTGTGTGCATGTAGGATAAATGAAAAATGAGATTATGGTTTTAAAAGAGTATATTGGACAATTAAGAATAATTTTGGAATTATGAAAATATTATTTAGGTGGAATATTAACTTAGGGAAATTTCTCAAATTATTTTTTGGAGAGGATGTTTCTTTAACTACATTTCCTGGAAGGGGGTTCTTGCTAATTTTCACATCTAATTAATGTCGTAACTTATTTAATAGGGCACAACAACAAGTACCAAAATCAAGAAGAAAAAAAAATCCATCATTTATATAGTTGGTGTCGATGTCGAATACTACAGAAAACAAAGTTAAAACTGTCCCATTTAGAGGTTTCACAATCGGTTCATAATAAAAATTACACGATTGAAAGAAATTAGACATACCTTCTACAAAGTAAAAATTAAAAAAAAAAAAGAATGAAAAGAAAAGAAAAAGAAATTAGGCATACAAGAACACCACTGAAAATAAAATCACACAATTAAGTGAATACATCTCACCCTATTATTCTTAATTGACAACATAATAAAACATGATACTACACATACAAGGTCGAATCAGACAACCTAGGAGTTGGGATACCAAACAATGGTGTAGTTTTCCTCAAGGCAATCCCGAATGTTTCGGACATATCAATCGTCTCCCCTTGTTCTATTTTCCAATCGAAAGAATGCAAAAGCGAAGCCAGAAAATATAATAGCATTCTCTCCGCAAGTGGTATGCCGGCACAAATCCTTCTCCCCGATCCAAATGGTAGATAATGAAAATGGTTACCTCTATAATCACATTTCCCATTATTATTATCATCAAGAAATCTCTCCGGCTTGAATTCCATCGGATTATCCCAAATGGAAGGATCTCTTTGAATCGAATATATATTTATAAAGACCATTGTATTCTTGGGGATAGTGTACCCCCCGACTGTCGAAGTATCAGATGTACACCGTGGAAGCAAAAGGGGTCCCGGTGGATATAAGCGCAATGTTTCTTTGATAACTGCTTCCAAATATTTCAATTTCGGGATATGACACTCTTCGACAATGTTGTTCAATCCCACGCCTTCGGTTAATTCTTTTTGTGCCTTTGTCATGACGCCCGGGTTATTCATAAGCCCAGCCATTGCCCACTCAACTGTTGTCGCCGTAGTGTCGGTGCCAGCTGACACAACATCCTATAATTAATTAAGTATTAATTGTTAGTCAACAAGTACTTAATTTTTGTGCAAAAAAGTTTTCAAAAAAAAAAAAGAAAAAAAAAACAATGTAAAATTACCATTAATAAGGCCTTGACTTGCTTGTGACTAATTGACATATCTGAATCTTGTTTGTTTTGAAGCTCCAACAAGGTTTGAAGAAAATCCTTTCTTCCTGATCGTTTCTCGCGAATCATTTCTCCAGCTGACGATAACGTGCTTTTGTGTTGAGCAATAACATCTTCGAGGGAGGGCGTCCAAAGATTGCATATACACCTCCATCTGTTTCTTGACTCCTTGAATATCCAATCCCGCAATAAGTGGATAGAAATCGGAAATGTTTGGCTTTCCGAATAAATCAATAACCTTCGAGATCACGCCGCAGAACTCCGCTTCGATTTTCCGGCCTTGCTCCCCTGCTTCAATAGTCCCACCCCACAACATATTCATCATGACATTAAGTTCGGTCCGGAAACCCAAGCGGCCGATTTCAACGGGCTTCCCGACGTCGTCGTGGACCCGTCTGATTGCCTTTCTAACATGGTCTGTACGAAGAACACGGGATTCCTCGAGGCATTTGTTGCTCATCATTTCTTGAACAAATATCTTTCTCATCGCCCTCCAACGCGAATTCGGCTCCGAAAACGCAACGTCGTTCCCACCGTAGCTGGCGACAAATGCTGCAACCGGAGTGTACCGATGCGAGAAAACGCCGTCCTTTTCGCGGACCACCTCTTTCACAAGGGACGGTGAGCTTATCACGACAAGGAGTTAGTTGCCGAGGTAGAGCTTGAAGATTGGACCGTATTAATGTCCTAATATTGTTAACTGATTTAATAAGTCTTTGCCAATTAGAAAGGGCAAGTATCCTAGGACTGGAAATCCCCAGGGGACAGGTGGTAATAATGTATTAGGATTTCTGTTGTACCAGATACTAATGGAGATTAGTAACAAAGAAACTGATACAATTGAAGCTATGTATAACTCATCCATTTTTTTTTTCTTTCTATTGTTGGCTATAACTTATTCCTGATGGGAGGTAGGCTCTATACACATATATATATATATACTGAAATTAATTGGCGTACATGATTTAGATCTGGATTTAACCATGGTTGAGTTAGTAGAAATTTAATATATTATTATATAACAAGGGGTTGGATATCATTTGATTACATGAATATAAAAATAAGCACGCATAATATAAAAAGAACACGACTGCGCAGCCTATATTAGGATGAATTTACAAGAAAATCCCTTACCTTAGGTTTGTTAAAATATGAGATTTATTGTTTATTTAATTAAATGATTAATATTAGTTTAGTAAAATAATTAGTCAAAATAGGATTCCGTGATTGTAGGATACTTAGTTAGTTGTTAGTAGTGGGTTAGTGTTCCTTAAAATTAGGATAAATTTGTTAATTAGTTTTCTATTTAAGTTGTAACATTCTGATTATGTTAAATGAAAAAACACCGTTTATCGGTTTTTCCAACATGGTATCAGAGCTTGGATCCTGACCTGTGATCCAACTCTTTTATTTGTTATGTAAGATTTTAATCGCATGTTCTCTAGGGTATGAGAATTTAGAAGTGGGTTTTTCCAACAAAAAAAAAAAAAAAAAATGTTAGCCTGGGTTTGGCAGCAATTGTCCACGTGGTGGAGGCCCGGGTATGGGCGGCCCACAATCGAATGCCGTGGGCGCTTGTGTGTGTTGAGTGAATATTCATGAGTGGCAAAATCTTTCCTAGTAATTCTACGATGGAAAACTAGAACTCAACCAATGTTCAAAGAGAGGTCCACTATTTAATTTAATCAGGAGAGGTGTTGCCAAAACGGCCTAGGAGCGGTGGTTGCACGATTTTGCAACATAAGAAAGATTCCTCTTACTCGATAAATGAAGGACCTAAGGGATATTTATGCAAGCAAAATACGGTTCTTGAGACTTGAATGCTTAGCAGCAGCAGCAGCCTGCAATCCGTGGTTTGCATCGGCGAACACTCGACAATCCAGGTGAGGCAGTATTCTCCTAATTTCGGTGGGGCAGAGGCAACCTAGATTCTGCATCTACAAGGTGAAATAGAAGGCGATGCAGTGAGATGCCGAAGACTTGAAGGATTGATGACGTTGGCGAGGGCAAGACGAACCAGCCCGTTTCGAGGCAGCCGAGGCCAAATTCGACACAGGCGAGACGACACTCGGCAATGGAGAGCACGTTTGGCAAACTCGGCGCGAAAATTAGAAGATTTGAGACAACACCAATCTTAGAGTGGAAGAAGTTCCGAAGGTGAAAGTTGCAGCCCAGATCCGACAAATATGAGGAGATGCAAATATTTTCGGCATAGGAAAGCATGTTCGGTGCTGCGGCTGGTTAGGCCTGGTAGAAAACCGTGGTGGCATGGCAGGCCATTCAAGAAATTCTTGAAGGGTGACAAAAATCTCGAACACTTGATGGGAATGCTGAAGAGGTGAAGGAATGTTGAAATCTTGAAAGGAACTCTTGTTAAACAATGTGAAGATAAGTGAAATCTTCAAGACGATTTGGTACAACGAGAGGATTAATGTTGCCTCAAGAATGAGGTAAAATCAGCCGTAGCTGATGTGTCCATCTTTAGTACGAGAATATGGTGGAATACTTCATTGAAGTAGAAGTGTTCGATTAGCAGCAGCTAATGTATTTCTTTCGCAAAAGAAATTAGAAATTCTCGTGTTTGATGGATGGAGTGTCAATTAGTGAAGATTGACGGAGGCGTTCGAAAAAATTGGCGTTCGCCCCAGTAGGAGTGTTTGAGGCATTGGTTCTCAATGTGAGGAATTTGATATATGTTCTTTCGCAAAAGAATATATCGAAGCAGAAGAATAAATTGTTGGCTATAACTTATTACTGATGGGAGGTAGGCTCTATACACATATATATATATATACTGAAATTAATTGGCGTACATGATTTAGATCTGGATTTTTAACTATGGTTGAGTTAGTAGAAATTTAATATATTATTATATAACAAGGGGTTGGATATCATTTGATTACATGAATATAAAAATAAGCACGCATAATATGAAAAGAACACGACTGCGCAGCCTATATTAGGATGAATTTACAAGAAAATCCCTTACCTTAGGTTAATATACAAAAGTACCCATCACATATCCATAGTTAGGGAAATTCTCCCAAGTTTGTTGGGTCTTACGTTGTTCTCTTACAGTGTGAAATTTAGCGAAATCTTTATTATTTCGTGGAATATTTCCTCGTATAAAATACCAATTTTACACTAGGTAATTTGTAATAAATATTATTTCATGAGGAGGCTAATTGTGATATTTTATTATTTACGCGCGTACCACCACATTACTCAACCACAGATCAATTTCAACTTCAACATAATAATTCCTCCACATATTTTGTTATAATCACACAAAACAACGGTCATTTTCTTGTAAATACAATAATCTAGCTCATGTTTGTACTTTTTTTTTTAGATCCATGGATAGCATCGAATATGCGGAGAATTCGACAAGAAGACAACCCTGCGATGTTGTATAGCATGCAACGACATGATTCACGTTTAGTTTATGGATGAATATTCAGTGGATGCACGGGGATATTTTTTTTTTTTTT